GAGTTTGGAGAAAAACTGTATTAGCAACCTCTAAGTGTCCGAGAAGTTCTTAGGCCGCATATAAGGTGTTCAAAGAATCATCAAGCGGTCTGTGACACTACCCATGGCCCGGTGGACTGGTTACTCCATTCGAAGCGTGAGGCTTGTGGACTTTGCAATATTTTGATTTGACCGTATTGTAACTAGCCCTAACCATGGTGCCTGTTATCGTTCTAGGTAGCACCTTGGTTGGCGGATTTTAGGTTAGCCCCACGACCATTTCTTAGGGGTGATCCCCTTTGTGAACTAGTATTTATCGGACCTCTCGAATGCCTTCTTGGTGAGAACATTGCTCCTTTTGCTACGGGGCTCCCACCTATAGTTCAGTTAGCATTCTAACCGGTACTTCTAGAACCAACCTTCATTTCATTTTATCGATTTTGAAACAACTCATGTCCAATGGCATGTTTCAGAACATCAACTAATTGGGGGATCTCTCGTAGGCTTCGTCTCTAATACTTACCTGGAAGCATTGGCTAATGCTCATTTTAATCATTGCAGACATGGCGTCGGCCTACGTAACTTCTCATTCGGATATAATTCTAGGTTGCCGGTTTTTTTCACCCCTGTGACTTCTAGATCCACTGGTTGTGATGTTACCTCAAATCTGCTACTACGGCTGGTCCATTGTATTTGTCACCCGACAATCTTTCCATTATGTAAATGCATACACCTTCGGACAAAGTCCCACTGAACGTGCCAATTGTTGATTCAGAAATTTACTAGTTCCAAGACCCCTTAAATGAGTATGCGTCCAGATCAAGCTATTTGCGTTAGCTAAAGGATTAGCTAACTTGAGTCTCAAAGACACTTCAAAGAGCTATTCTGAATCTTAAGATAATAAGTCAACCTAGATGTACTTCTGCGACTTGAGCAATAGAGATGCTAGCCTCATGCTGGCACTTGGGTGTTCCATATAGGATTTCAGTGTGAAAATAAATAAATAAATAAGACTAAATAGAAAGTAAACAAAAAGAATACCGAGTTATTCTAATTATCGAGAGGTGTTTTTTACCGTTGCTTTCAAGCTTATTTATACATAGGTTAGACAAAACAAAATAATCTAACAATCCCTAAACATAAGGGATTATCTAAAAATAAAAATCTTTATAAAAATAAGGATAATACTCTAACGTAACCATGAGATGAGAATGAAAAATTGATGGATAAAATCAATGGATCATTCCGTGCATATAAGCTTTGGTCTTAGAATGTTTGTGTCCATTTATGCAGTTTACTCTATGCTCTCTTTTACGAATTTCTCTTTAATGCATTTGAGTGGGAGTGGTCTTCTTAAGTTTGACTCAGACCTAATGAATTTCGGCCAATTGATGATGCGATGGGGCCATTTTTTTGGCTCGTTGGATTAGGCCCAACATAATGATAATATAACCAAATTGGTGGTTTAGTGTCTTTGTTGACTTTGTAAATATATTTTTAATATAAATCTAAAAAATAATACTCCCTCTGTCTCAATACAATAGTCTTGTTTACTATTTTTGTCTGTCCCAAAATAATAGTCTTATTTTATTAAATAACCATATCACCATAAAACTACCCCTATTTTTTCATTTTTATTACACAATTGCCACTACTTTTTACACTAATACACTCGCAAGGGCAAAAACGTCTTTTATTCATACTTTTTATCCACTACCAATATAATATCAATATTCCTTAAATCCCGTGTCCAACCCAATTAAGACTATATTTATGGGACGGAGGGAGTACTACTTTCGTTCGGCTCTAAGGGTTTGATTTACTTTTTGCGTGTTAATCTTTGAATATTAATTATTATATGAAGCGTAATACAAATTAAGAGAAAATAGCAAAAATACTTCTATTAGTGTCTTATAATACTATTATAATAACATTTGTGCAAAAAATTATACAAATATAATGATATTTTTAATGTTAATACAATAACAAAAAGATAAATAAGACCCTTAGAGCCGCACAAAAAGATAAATAAGACCATTAGAGCCGCACGGAGGGAGTAATATTTATGTAATAATAATAAAATGAATGTGATTTTATAATGATGTTATTTATGGTCATGCAACAATTTCTTTCGAACAATAAACAAATAAATATAGTAACTTTTATGGTGCATTGTCTTTTGAATTGATTTAAGTTTTTTTTTTTTTATAAAATAATCATAATGTTTTTTTTTTTTTATGAAAAAAAATTATTTTATCTGATAGAGCATTATATTCAAAACAATATATATATATATCTTGCTTGGCTTTTTTTTTCTTAAATTTTACTATTAGATTCTAATTTTAGAAAAATTAAATTAGAAAAATATAATATCACATTGAATATTATTAAAATAGAAAATTTAAATCAAAAGTTTTCAATCAAACCCAAAAAAAAATTTGTGGGTGTGTGTGTCCTTTTTTTTATTTTGGATATTATTTTTAAGTTTGAATTTCAAATAGTTGTTTAATAGAATATAAACTAAGTATAAATATAAAATTAATTTTTAATGTAATATAAAAAATAAAATAAAATTTTAATTTGATATTGTTTAATAAAAAATTCTAAATAAATAGTAAAACATAAATAAAAAACCTTACAAACAAACACATCCAAATAAAATATGTGAACTCGTGACCATTAAGTAATGCATTCAAACTTTCGACACCTTCAGATCCACTTGACACACATGGTTCGTCTAGTGTGACTTACTTTGTTGGGCCTAATTTGCAGGGTATTAGGTTAGACTGGGGTTTACTCAAATCGCACTCGACCAATAGTGACTACAAATTTTCACGTTAATAAAAAAAAAAAAAAACCAAATATGCTTTTGAAGATTAGAATTAAATTTAGCTTAATTAATATTCTTGTAAAAAAATTTTTTTTTTAAAAAAATTATAAAAACAAAAATAATATAAAGTTTAGGTCAAAATACAAATTAAACATACTCCTAACTTAAATGACCCCAACTTTTTTTTTTTTTTATAATTATTATTTAAAGGAAAAATTATTTATAATTTATTTATAATTTAAAAATTTTGCACCATAATTTTTTATAATTTTTTTAAATAATAAATGGGAATGATGCAAAATTTCGATTATAAATATTTTTTCTTATTTTTAAATACCCTCTCGGTTTATTTTATAAGTATATATTTAATCAAAGTTTAGAAAATATTATATTTTAACGATAATTATATATATATATATATTGTAATATTCCACCAATCTATGCGTTTACTTTTTGCATGTTAATATTTAAATATTAATTATTATATCAAAACATAGTACAAATCAAGAAAAAACGACAAAAATATTTCTATTGGTGTCTTGTAATATCAATGTAATGACATTTGTATAAAAAATTATACAAATATAAGAATATTTTTAATGTTAAAAATAATAACGCCAAATACAAATAAATAAATTGCGGTAGACAAAGGTAGTATATCAAATCGAATAAATAAATTGATGCCAGTGCAAAAACACTCTGATGATGATGGATGACCCTATACAGTTCGATGCCACAGGCAGCCCAAGAGTTTGTAGCGATATATGCTCGTGGGCCTGTCTAGAGCACTGACTCAGCTGGCTTGGTACGGCTTGGACGAAGGATGGTGGATAAAGAGGTTGAAATGTTTAAAGAAAAATCATAGATAGAATAAAGATTTCAAAATAAACAAGCAATATTAAAATAGGCAGAACATAACACACGACATTCATCATTTTTTCATTATTTTATTTTTATTTTTCTTTTGAGTATATTTTTTGTACTCTTTTATTAAAAAATATCATTAATTTTTTATAGTTTCTTCAATTAATTTTCACTTTTTTTTTTCAATATTTTCATTGCATTATTAGCTTTATTTTTTAGCTTCTTGTATGTTAATTGTTCGGATATCGTGAGATTATTCAGATCTTTTTTCGAGGAGATTAGAGAATTTTACAATTACTTTAATTTTGACAGACTTTTTCGATCGAATCCCCTGGAAACGTAATTTTTTTTTAACAATGTATATGTACATATAAGTATATATTTGTAATATATAATGAACTTCGTATTTACTATATTTAGGCCATCTCCAACCCTGCGCCATTGGCATATTTGGCGTTGGTCCAACGTCAATTTTGGTGTTGCAATGTAGCAACGCCATTTTTTTGCATTGTATTATTTTATTTATTTATTTTTTAATTTTTAAAATTATAAATTTGATTTTTAAATTTAAATTTTATTTTTTAAATTTTTTTAAAATTTTATTTTAAATTATAAAAATAAAAAAAATTGTTTAAAATAATAGGAAAATTGAATATTTGAGGAATAATAGTGAAAAGTAGAGTTATGGTTAAAGTAAAATTTCTGTAGCAACTGCATATTTAGAGTTAAAACTAGATAAATGAAGTTGATAGTTTGGAGATGACATTAGTAAATATATAGCGTGTGTTTGTTTTATGTATAATTGAAAGTATATTAATTTTTTTTGAAAGTGTATTAATTTTTCTTAAAAAATATGTTGGAAAAAAATACACCCATATATTCAGTTTGGACAACAAAAATAACAAAATATGAAAGTACTATCATTCAAATTTGTTTTTATTTTTTATTTTTATTATTATTAAATGCATTTTTATTTTTTAGTAAAAGAATATCATTTTTACTATTTTTTTTTACTTTAAAAAGTAAAATTTTTTAACCTTTTACTTATTTGTTTTTTTACATTTGTATTCTACATATCACACAATTAAATAAAGGAGAGAATATAATATTAAATATTTTACTTTTTTTTATCCTATAAAAAATTATTTATTATTTTATTTTAATTCCTAGTCATTTTTTATTTTATATTTCTAAAATTACGTTATAAAAAACAAAGCGAGGAACTAATTACGAAACAAAAGAAAATATTAAAATATTAAAAAAATATAAAAAAATATCTAAAAAACGCTGCAAATACACGGACAGACACACATCCCAAAATTTCACAATCGGTCAGTCAAAATCAAAATGAAAATCAATCAACTAAACTAGAGTAGAGAAATGGGAAGACATAGATGCTTCCTTCCATAACCATTCATCACTTTCTCTGCAAAATCCACAATCACTTCCGCTGATTTCGTCCCCTAAATCCAAATTTCGACAACCCTAACCCCCAAATCTACACTGCACCACGACCATGGCCGCCACCATCGACGGCCACGACAAGGTCTTGGCCACCGCCCAGAAGATCGTCCAGTCGCTCAACAACACCTCCGACGCCGAGGACATGCTCTTAATCCTCTCCAACTTCGACAACCGCCTCTCCGCCCTGTCATCCTTCGTCGACAACCCCCCCGCCGCCGATGCAGCCGGCGCTTCCCGCTCCTCCGCCGTGGATCCTCAATTCGAAGCCGCCGAGCAGATAATTCTAACCGATGCCGATACGCCCTCGCTTTCGGACGATTACTTACCCGCCGTCGATGAGATCATCCGGCTGACCGAGGAATTGAATCTCGGCTCCGTCGACGCCGGGAAAGACGTCGTCGACCGTGCGGAGAACGCGCTGCAGCTCGCTATGACTCGATTGGAGGACGAGTTCCGCCACCTGCTCGTGAGGAACACCGTTCCCCTTGACCCCGACCGTCTCCATCGATCCTCCAATTCTTCAACCGCCGCCTCCATGTCAATCGCTACCGCTGAGTTCTTCAACGAGGAGGTTGGTGAAACCCTAGAAAATATGAGCAGCATCCGTCTCAGCCACCGCCGCCGCGGTGTTAGCGGCGCAAGCTTTGGCGGCGACGGGATGCCCATCGAACTGATCCATCAGGACGCCGTGATTGATCTGAACGAGATCGCCGATCGAATGATCCGATCTGGATATGAGAAGGAGTGCTGCCAGGTCTACTGCACCGTCCGCCGCGATGCTCTCGATGAATGTATGTCTATTCTCGGGGTCGAAAAATTCAGCATTGAGGAAATTCAGAAGATCGATTGGCCAACATTGGATGAAAAAATGAAGAAATGGATTCAAGCTGTCAAAGTTGTAATCCGTGGTCTTTTATCCAGTGAGAAATACCTCTGCGAGCAGATTTTCAGCACTTCTGATTTGATCAAGGAGGTCTGTTTTCTAGAGACATCCAAAGGTTGTGTGATGCAGCTCTTGAACTTCGGGGAGGCAGTGGCGATCGGAAGAAAATCTGCGGAGAGGCTGTTTCGAATTCTTGATATGTACGACGCCTTAGCTCAGGGTTTACCCAATTTGCAGTCGATGTTTATGGACGAGGATGCAGGGGACATGGTGTGCAATGAAGCCAAGGCCGTGTTAGAAGCATTGGGGGAGGCTGCAATTGGAACTCTCGTGGAGTTCGAGAATGCAGTTCAAGGAGAAGCTTCTAAAAAGCCAACACAGAACGGTGAGATTCACCCACTGTCTCGCTACGTGATGAATTATGTGAAATTGCTCGTGGATTATAGTGATACACTCAATTTGTTGCTGGAGAATACAAATGTCGAAAACACTGATGGTTTGGATGTGGACGCCGTGTCTCCAATCGCGCGCAGGTTGTTGGCGCTGATCACCTCATTGGAATCGAATATGGAAGACAAGTCCAAAATGTACGATGATTTGGGAATGCATTACATCTTTTTGATGAACAATATACTCTACATTGTGCAGAAAGTGAAAGACTCTGAACTGAGGAATCTTTTAGGGGATAATTGGGTTAAAAAACGTCGAGGGCAGATTCGGCAGTATGCTACGCAGTACCTCAGGGCATCGTGGAGCAGAGTGTTGACTTGCTTGAAGGACGAAGGAATCGGTGGGAGCTCGAACAATGTGTCTAGGGTTGCTTTGAAGGAGAGGTTTAAGAATTTCAATGCTTGTTTTGAGGATATCTATAGGGTCCAGACGGCTTGGAAGGTCCCGGATCCTCAACTTCGCGAGGAGCTTAGGATTTCCATTTCCGAGAAAGTGATTCCTGCGTATAGGTCCTTCCTAGGAAGGTTTGGCAGCCAGCTGGAAGGTGGGAGGCACGTGGGAAAATACATAAAATATACGCCAGAGGATTTAGAGAATTATTTGTTGGATCTTTTCGAAGGGACGCCCCTTATTCTGCATCATATGAGAAGAAAAAGTACGTAAACATGTGCGGGCATCTGGTTCTTGATCGGTATGGTTTGTTTGTTTCTTTGTTTGTTTGTTCATTCTGGTATTGGATTGGTAACATACTTTTCTCTCATGGTTTAAATTTTGCTGAGCATGAATATTTAGTTGAATATATCCTAATCGACAATTTCGTTTATACTGCAATAGATTTGTGCATATAAGAGGTTTCATCGATGTTCGGCTGAATATGCTTCGAGTTCAGTGTTGGATTTGGTATTATTATGCTGACTGGTGCATGCATTATTACTGTGCAATTATACGAACCTGACACTTTAGAATAGATCTGTTTCGATGGATATAGGGAGATGTTCTCGATATGGAGATATGTCAGTGAAATGTTCAGTTCTCCAATATTGTCGCTCGTGCTTTTGGTAGTAGGCAAGTCTAGAATTGCATTATGTTTGTTTAACGACATTCTCACCTAAAAGTCTAAACTAGTAGGAAAATATATAATTAGTTAGATATTATGGGCATGGATCAAGTCCTGGTCCGGTCAAGTCAGTATAGAGCTGATTTGACGAGACTAACATATGTTATACAGGTATAGTAAAAAATATGTTATATTATAACTCAATATATGTTGCAGTATCTGTAAATATATGCTGGTCATGTGTATGACATATACTCTGATCTAATCCAATCCAATCCAATCAGCGTATGTTGACTTCTCCGGATCAACATAGGATCCTCCTTCACAACATGAACCTTACACGAGGACATTTTTTCGCAAAAGAGGACAGTGGGACTCGAACACGGACAGACCTTTATATGAAAGCGGGAAGTCTTGTGTTTGTGTCCCAACATGAGGTTTCGTTTACGAGTCTCGTCGCCCTCTTTCGTAAAGAAATTGTCAACGTGCAAGGTTCATGTATGGGATGATTGACTTTATCATGGTTTGTCTCCTTGGATATTATTAACTTATAACCTTAGTTGTGTGTGGCTTGGTTTTTATCACCCTCTTTTGGTAGTTTGTGACGACGTTGTATCATAAGAGGCAGCACATATATAACTAACTTTTCCACAGTTTCTGGAATCTGCCCAGACAAACTAATAGGACGATCGTGCATATGTTTGTCTAGTTGTGGGTGGGTCATTGTGTGTTTTAGCTTCAGAATATTCCGACACTGAATCTTGTCTGCAATTGCCTTGTCTCCAAATCGTTGAGCAAGTTGTTAACAGCATGTAATTACCGACCACTAGACTTTCATTACACCTTGAGAATGTAGTCCTTAGACCAACTTGTTATAATAAAAAACCTTACTTTTTTTTGTCCCAGTGGGTAAGAAAATTAGTATAATATTTGTCATTTTATTTGTTACATTTACAAAAGTTATATACAAACAGGCTACGAGTTTTATGAACCAATGCATATTTGTTTGAGTTTTTTTTTTTTTTTTTTTGTTTAAATTATAAAATGTTTTTTTATATAAAAAAATGATATAATATCAAAGTTTCCAAAATTGCGCCCGATATATAATATATAAAAAGACAAGAACTTCACAATCAAGTTACAATACATTTTTAGGTTGCGGTTACGGTGCTAGACTCATATTCAGCATTGTGCAGCACACATGTACTTAATAAATAGGACACGCTAATGTTAGTAACAACATATTTATATTAATATAATACAAGCATAACATATAAATTAATAGCACACAGATAATTAGCAAATAACACACGGTAATGTCAGTGACAACACATTATTTATGTTCATATAATACAAACACATCACCTGATATGCTCATACAGCACATGCATGAGTTTATTTCAGCACATTATATATACTTGTACAACACACACCGTGTTATTTTTAATAAAGACTTGTACTTTTTTTTTATTATTTTATGGATGTTGATTTGATTTTTTCAAATCAGTACCGTAACCTTCTCCACATTTCTAACATAGTTTCACTTATTAATATATTGATAAGAATATTTAATTTTAAGTAAACCGGGCCAGATTTGGGGTGCGTTGTTTTGGATAAGTTTGGAAAGATTGGGTTTGGATTTGGTTTGTAATTGAAATTTAGGTTGTGCTTGAAATTTTATGTTTCTTTTGATTTATAGGTTTTGTTGGGATTTGAAGGGTTTTGATACGTATTGATTTGATATGTAAAAAAATAATGATATAAAATGTGTATTATATTTGTTGGGTAACGAAGAAAGACGTGAGCTGGAACACGTATACAGTAAGAGGCCAACACTCCTCCGAGTTTAATGGCAGCGGAAATAGGAAACCACAAGGGGTTTACACTTCGGAAACACGTGGTATTGTTCCGTGGTTATAACTCTTGTGTGTGTCACAGATACTTGCCTATGTCTGGCTAAGATCAAACATAAAACAAACAACACACAAGATTTGTTAACCTAATTTGGTGTAATTATCTACATCTGGGGGATTCCAATCCAGGAGACGTCCACTAAACCTATCACCAGGTATACAAGGGACTCAATGACTCAACAAACACGGACCCTAAGCTATCCTCTCCTATAGTCTTCTTTACATCGCAATGTACAAGAAACTAGGGATTACACCGTAGTTCTAATCCTAGCAGACTACCAGTCTAACTGAGAGTAAGCAGGTACAAGTTGATCTTCTTCTCCTATTGGAAATCCTTTTTCTCCTTCTTCAGATGAGCTTCAAATCTCCATGAAAGCTCGTATTCTTCTTCAGATCAAGGAGTAGTGAAAACGAAAAGATTGAGAGAAAATACTCTTTTTCTCACTAGATTTTTCACTCTGTTTTTCACTCTCACATCACAAGACTGTTTCACAGTCTGTTTATACAAACACATTGTCTCAATGCAGTATTTGACTAACCAATGTTGGGGGTATTAAATGCGCCACCACAAACTTACAACATTGTTTTGTCTTATTCCTGAACATTCTCCTATGTTTGACAGTTCATATCTTGACAAAACCTGTGCAAAATTGTTACAAACAGACAATACAAAAAGTCTTCAACAACAGTCTGCTGCATTCCATATTTGGGTCGTCCTCGAGTTTCGATACCCTGAAAAGTTAGTAACATATGCCAAAACAAGAAATGGTACTTTTGTAACAACATTAAATTTATGAAATTAATAATAATGTAATTTGAGTAATTAATTTGTGTTAATCCAAAGAAGCAACTTTCATAAACTTTGGGAGTCCTTTGATTGCACCGCTTTTGCTTAGCTTTATGAGATTCTGTTGGTTGACGTGACCAAGTCTAGTGTGCCGTAGCATCACTTCTTCATCTTTCGAAATCAACGCTTGTAGGTTCGGGTTTTCAAGAAAATAACAATTATTTCTTGACCGAGAACTAGTCATGATACATTCAGATGCAGAGTTGTAAACTTTGTACGAATCCTTCGTAAACTCCATATGTAGATCAGCATCGCATAGCTGATATATGCTAATCAGATTGGTACTTAAGCCTTGAACGAAATAAACTTTAGAAAGTTTAGGAATACCTTCGACTTCTAGTGTACCATATCCCTCAATCTGACCTTTGGCTCCATCTCCAAAAACAACTTCTCCATATTGATTAGTAACATAATCTTTCAGAAGATGTCTCTGGTTTGTCATGTGACGTGAACAACTACTGTCGAAGTACCATCTAGTTGGATTTGTGGATTCTTGGCTAGAGAGAATCACACAACACATCATCCTTATATGATCTTTCTTTGGTCTCCATTCCAATCTTACTTTGACATGTTGTTTGAGATTATTTGAGCGCTAATGAATGTCTCTTCCAGAAATCACAACTCTTGTCAGTTTGAAACACTTTTCAGCTACGTGACCACAAAATCCACAATACTTGCAGTCATGCAGGTGTTCTGACTCTTGTTTGATCTTCACTGCTTTCTGATTGTTTTGTGGCTATTTCATCTTTCTGGATGTTTCAACTTTCTCAATCAATTTCGGCTTCTCAATTTCTTCTGGGACCTTCAAATCAGTAAGTAGTCCTCATCTTATAAATTGTAGTAGGCTTAATCTCCATTGAATCAAAATATCCCAAACCTTTGTGATCTCCAACCGGTTTTCCAATTGAGAGAACTTCATCAAGCTTCTCCTTGCCTTTTTTAAGTTGATCATTTTCAATAATCAATCAAGCATTCTCTGCTTTCAATCGCTTGACTTCAACTGCTAAATCTTGAGTTTCTTTTAGTATTTCCTCATTTTCAAATGCCATGCTTTCATGTCGAACTTCCAATTCGTTGATCATATCCATCAAATTTTTGTTCTTCCGGATTGATTGTTTCAGATCAACAACAACAGCTTCATAGGCTTCAATAAGCTCATAGATATCCATTTCAGTTGTTTCTTCAGGGTTACCATCGATCCCTTTGACATTTGACTTGCTAGATTCACAATTCTTCACAACGAATGCTACAACATCATCATCATCATTCTCATTCTGATCATCTCCATCAATACCATCATCATCACTCCAAGTTACTTGGTAAGCTTGTTTTTCACGTTTCTTCATAGATGGGCATTCAAGTTTCACATGACCAACACCACCACAACCATCGCAAGTTGGTTCCTGTGTAACATTGGGTCTAGATGCAACATTGAATCTCTTTCTGTGACTTTTTTCAAATGAACTTCTCGGTTTGTTTAAGGCTGAAGGTTTTTGCTCAGACTAATTTCTGTGTTGTCCTGTTGTTTTAACTCCAAACTGATTTCTGTCAATCGACTTGCCAAGCTGTTTTGCTGCTCGTTTTTCTCTGATCATCCCCGATAACTTCTTAGATATAAGGGCCATCTCTTTATTAGATTCAATCAACTATTGGTCTTCAGCAGATAGAACAATGCCTTTGTTAGTGTATTCTTTAAGATGATTCATTTCATACGTCAAGAGAATTCCATTCAAGCTTTCCAAAGTCATCGTCTTCACTTTATCCAACTCTTCAAGGGCTGCAACCTTCGGATTGAACTTCTTCGTAACAGATCGAATCATTTTCCTCACTAGCTTTTGTTCATCATACTCCCGTCCAAGAGAGTATGCTTGGTTCCCTACATCTTTGAATCGACTATAGAAATTTCCTACGGATTCATCTTCATTCATCTTCAAGGACTCAAATATACTTTCAACTCTTTGAAGTTTGGTTGCTCGAACATCTTCAGTTCCTTTGAAAGCATTTTTCAATGCATCCCATGCATCTTTTCCTTCCTGCAGTTTGCAATAAGACGAAATTGCACTTCATCAACGCAAGTGAAAGTAGTGTTCACTGCTGTTGCATTTCCAGTCAAAGCTGAGATTTTTTCAGGTGTCCATTCCGATTTCGGCTTCGGAATCACAGTAGGAGCATTCATCATTGTTTCTCTTGGAATGACTTTCATAGGTGCAGACCATCCACGTTCAACTACATCCCAAACATTGTCACCTTGCATCATCAGAAATGCCTCCATCCTAGTCTTCCAATATCTGTAGTTAGTTCCATCAAAGACCGGTGGACGAGTGGTAGAAGCAACTTCTCGATTCATTTTTCACAACCACGAACAGATCTAATCGGGGTATTGAGCACGCTGCCCTGATACCAGATGTTGGGTAACGAGGAAAGATGTGAGCTAGAACACGTACACAGTAAGAGGCCAACACTCCTCCGAGTCTAATGGCAGCGGAAATAGGAAACCACAAGGGGTTTGCACTTCGGAAACACGTAGTATTGCTCCGTGGTTATAACTTTTGTGTGTGTCACAGATACTTGCCTATGACTGGCTAAGATCAAACATAAAACAAACAACACACAAGATTTGTTAACCTAGTTTGGTGTAACTACCTACATCTGGGGGATTCTAATCTATGAGACGTCCACTAAACTTATCACCAAGTATACAAGGGACTCAATGACTCAACAAACACGGACCCAAAGCTATTCTCTCCTACAGTCTTCCTTACATCGCAATGTACAAGAAACTATGGATTAAATCGCAATTCTAATCCTAGCAGACTACCAGTCTAACTAAGAGTAAGTAGGTACAAGTTGATCTTCTTCTCCTATTGGAAATCTTTTTTTTCCTTCTCTAGATGAGCTTCAAATCTCCATGAAAGCTCGTATTCTTCTTCAGATCAAGGAGTAGTGAAAAACGAAAAGATTGAGAGAAAATACTCTTTCTCTCACTAGATTTTTCACTCTATATTTCACTCTCACATCACAAGACTGTTTCACAGTCTGTTTATACAAACACACTGTCTCAATGCAGTGTTTGACTAACCAACATTGGGGTATTAAATGCCCACAAACCTGCAACATCGTTTTGTTTTGTCCCTGAACA